AGTGTTGAGTTATTTATATTATGTAATTTCATTCTTTCCTTGTAATCCTTTACAAATAAGTGAATTTTCATAATAAACCCTATCACTGAAAACGATCCCAAAAACAGTAAAAAAGGACATGTATTTTACAAGTACCTTTTTCCATAATGTATCAATTAAGCAATTTTCTTTATGTTGCTTTGTCATCATCAAATAGGGGATATTGTTGATCCATACTCTTTCAGTGGTTTGATGATGATCTTTTTTATCTAGAGACAAGTACTTAGTTCTCTTTATTCAATTTCAGTGATTATCACTGAGTCTATTTAGTTATTGCTGAAAAAATATTGTAATTCTCAAGAGACAAGTATTCTTCAAGAAGACAAAACTCACATCACAAGAACCTTCAGTGATATCAAAGATAAAACTGAAGATAGAGACAAGTAATTCACGATCTGATGTTGTTTTAGTGATAACAATCCTGTCTACAAACATGTGTGAAGTCTGCTCAAGATTCAACAAACACCGAAGAAACTTTAGAGTTATTCAAGTGTCAGCGATCAAATTAATCTTGTTCAAGATTAGTTTTTTGTCTTATCCCTCTGCACAGAAAGGACAAACCCATACCTCTCAAAGTAAATCACTCATACAAAATTACCCTATTGTCTCCAAACGTGCTTACCTACTTTCTGAATGACTATTGTTCATATATGACCAAAAGGCTGTATATCTGAAGATAAAGGACAAGTTCACCTCTAGAATCTTGCCACGTGCCTTGTTATATCTGACTTACATTTAATGCAATGGGTATAAATAGTCATGGAGACTCTCCTCTCCAAATACCCAAGAAGAGAGACACATACAAGAAGCACATATTTCCTACCCTTGCGAAGTTACGTTTACTTTACGTGAAGAACATCAACTGAGCTTACTCTCAAGCAAAGTTATTGCATCTTCTTTAGCAAGTCTTTTCTTCCTTGCTTTTTTGTATCTTGTATGCTCCTTAGATTGTTTTAGATAACTTTTGTATCTTGTCTTATTCCGCAAACAATCTGTAAATTCTATATTGATCTTCTCTTATCAATAAAGGATTTTAAAAAGTGAAATATTTCTGTGTTTGTATTCATCCCTCCCCTTCTACAAATTGTTACTTTTAGACTCTTGTAGATCCGTCTAGGACCAACAATTTCCACCTATAACGTTTTCATTATTGACCTTAAGAGCTTTTTTTGTTCTAACATTTCTAGCATTGTTATTTGAAAGAACCTTGTTATAAAGAACCTTGTTATGTCTATCAACCACATGCAGTAGGTAGATGAGTTTGTCAAAATGTTACATTCCAACTTATATTGGTTCATTAATATTTACTGATATATGAAAGGTGGAAATAAAGTTATGAATCATGTAATCTTCTGTGAGTTCCTTGCCATGAAAATTGAGATGAATTTTGAGACACAACATTTCTTTGTTGAAATCAGTCACCTTCTTATAATCGAGTGAGTTTCATTCCACTATATGATTAGTTTGGGAAGTACATCCTAATCAATACTCCTGATTTTCCTTTTCAAGGCATCCAACGGTTCTTGGGGATTATAGTTTAGGATATTCTATATAAAAGGTTGTGACTTATGTGTCATCTCAAAAATCTCAAGTTATTTACTTGTACCTTAATAGTTGACTTTTAGGGTCAATGCGTTTTGATGAGTGTTAGGTATATTATTGTACATTTCCAACAGAAGTAGTCTTTCTATTGGACATCATCTATGGTACTTAAGTTCTTTTGAGTTTAGGACATCGAATCCCAGAATTAAAATAAAGTGGAGAGAATGAATATGTAATTCCCAGTAATCAAAAACCTTTAAATATGGACGATTACCTAGAGATAAAGATAAGCATGGAAGGAGATTTACTCCATAAATAACTCTAAACGTTTATGTCTATCTTTATTTCCACATCCTTTTGACGATGACATATTTATCCTACAATATTTTTGAATATTTATAGAAACAAAATATATATTAGAGTAAATTGCAATTTTGGTCCTCGTGGTTTGTTGTTTTTCTTGGTTTGAGTCCTTACAAAATTATATTGCAAAACACCCTCGTTATATGCAAAAGTGCTTGGTTTAGATCCTTGAGGCTAACTATGTTAGATTGCCTATGTTAAACACCCTCATGTGCCTTGCATGCTAGGGTAAATGGATCATTTTGCATTACTCTCCTTCTTTTATCCTTTTAATCGGCTAAAACCCTCACTCGTGACCTCTATACCCCTTTTCCTTTCCATTTTCTTCGATCATCCTCTTCTCTCATTCTTGTCCGGAAATTCACTCGACACAACCAACATCTTGTCTTCTCCTTTCTCCCTTCTCCCACCTCTTTTTATTTATCCCTTCTCACTAATGAACAACCACCATTGCTGCACCACCACCAGCACCTCCACCACCTTCGTCGATGCTTCTCACTTTTCTCTATCTAAATCCAGGTCGATTAGACCCTGATCCGACGATGATTTGAGTGTAGATGAATGACATCCAAGCTTTATGTTTCTGTTGATTTTAAACGAATACCAGATGGAAAAAGGGATTTGGAATCGCTTCGTTCTACCGACAGTCCAGAAGGGCAATCTGATGGAAACTGGAAAAGAGAAAAGGTTAGAAATCGAAATTGATCAAATCCACACGTTGGCTTTTTAAACAAAGGGATTTCAAAGCGACATCTGGAACTCTATTGCCTCTATGGTGGAAGATTGGTTGTTTGTGGCACTCTCCATAAAAGGAGAAGAGTGTTTCGAGGAAACAAGGGAAGGAAAACCGACTGCCGTCATCATCGTCTTCGGGAATGATGCTGAGTTTTTGAAAGCATTTTTGATCAAAGAATATAAGATCATAAAAAAGGCAATGGAAGAAGAAGAGAAGATCAACGAATTGACTATAGCGTTGGTTTATATACAAAGTTCTATGGTTTTATATTTCTTTTTTGTCTTTAATCAATATGTAATTGTTGATTCTGGAATTTTAACCGAAAACCCAGAAACTATTTGACTGGAGGGCACAGACGGACCTAGGTAAGTGGCATGGGTGGCACGTGCCACCGTATTATTTCTCCGCCGAAGGGTAAAAAATTTAGGTTTGTGAACGGTGCTACCGTATCGTTTTAGATGGTGCTACCGTATTTTCAAGAATTCCAAATAGTGCAACTAAAACCAAATAAAACAAAACCCAAATAGCCAAATCAAAATTCTAAAATGCAAAGCCCAATTGCCAAACCAAATCAAAAATTGTTCTAAATTAAACAAAGCCCATAATATATCAATTAATAAAACAAATGAAATGATAAAGGCCTTACTTAGGCTTAGCCCAACAGCCCTTAAGGCTTAAAGCCTTAAACCATACCAGTCGGCCAAGGTGATTTGATTGGAACGATTAGAACGATTCAGACCAGTAGCAACATCAATTGAGCAACAACGAGTCACGATTTGGGTGATTCGACTGGAATGATTCGGATGATTCTTGAAGACTCGGATGATTCTCAAACGATTCTCGAACGATTCTCACTTCAGTCACTTGTTACATGGCTATTTGGTGACTTTGATCTCTATTTTCAAATTTACTCATTTTAGGTATCCATTTTTACTCTTAATCTTAGATTACTTATCTATTGATCATCAATACAATTTTACATTATTCTAGTTCATAAGTTCATTAGTAATTAGTTGTAGTTAAGACTGTTAAGTAGTTTTAGTTGATTACTTGATTACTTGATTACTCTTAAGTTAAGTAGTTAACTCTTGAATTTGATGATGATCCATCGCTCTGCTTGACTACTTGAATAATGATCATTGATTTGCTTTAATAATGATCATCGCTCTGCTTGACTGCTTGAATAATGATCAATTCATGACTGTTTTTGACAAAATGGCAAAATACAGATAATGTTAGAATGATCAATGATGGTTTGTTCACTTCAGTAGACAGTAGTTTAGTACTTTAGTTTGATCAATGATCATTGATTTGCTTCATTAGTTCATTAGTTGATTACTGAGTTTAGTTGATGATGTTCAGTCTTCAGATGTTGATTAGATTTACATTACTCATTGCTGATTACTTGATCATTGCTTTATTACTTAGATTTACATTACTCATTCATTATGGAAAAATATTTGAAACGAAAAGCTTCATCAACCGGTAATAATGATGTATCCAACAATATGGTTGATGTTAACGATCTTCCTGGGGATCCATTAGAGAGACCCAAAATTATAACTTATAACCCAAATCAAAGAGATAAAATTAGACGAAAATACTTGGTAAGGGGTCCTTGTCAACCACGAGGTCACATCGTTCCAACCAAAGTTATAGGGGCTAAAGCAAGACGGTTTGTTGTTACTTGGTTTGATCAATTTAAGTGGTTGGAATACAGTGTAAAAATAAATAGAGCATATTGTTTGTCTTTTTACTTGTTTAGAGACCAAGGTGGGAATCATAAGATGGATGCATTTGTGACAGAGGAATTCAATAATTGGAGTAAAAAATATAGACTTACGCTTCATGAGGGTGAGGTTAATAGTTTTCACCATAAAGCTCTTAAAAAATGTGAAGATTTGGTTAACCAAAACCAATCAATTGTTGTTGCCCTTCGTAAGCAAACAGAACTCATGAAGACCGAGTACCACATGCGATTGAATGCTTCCGTTGAAGTTTGTAGATACTTGTTGGAGAATGTTTTACCATTTCGTGGCAATAATGAGTCGAAAAAGTCTATGTACAAAGGGCTTTTCTTGGGGACTTTAAAGTTAATCGGAAGAACAAATGGTGATATTGAAAAGGTTATATTACAAAATACCCCGAAGAACAATCAATTGACATATCCAAAGTTTCAAAAAGATCTTGTTACTTGCTTTGCAGAAGAGGTGTTGATATCCATTATTGGGGAAATTGGTGATGATGTATTTGCTTTGTTGGTGGATGAGTCTAGTGATGTCTCTAGGTAAGAGGACAAGGTTATGATGGTGCTAGCATTATGAGTGGTAAGTTTAATGGGTTGAAAGCTTTGATCTTGAGTGATAATAACTCGACATTTTATATACATTGTTTTGCCCATCAACTTCAGTTAGTAGTTGTGGCGGTTGCAAAAAAACACGAAGATATTAAGGACTTCTTTGATTTGCTTGCCTCGGTTGTTACTGTTGTAAACTCTTCATGCAAACGAAAAGATATGCTACGAGAAAGTCACAAAGAGAGAATTCAAGAAGAAATTGGAAATAACGAAATTGAGACTGATAAGGGGTTAAACCAAGAGATTTCCCTTGTACGAGCTGGAGATACACGATGGAATCCTCATCTTAAAACAATCGTGAGTTTGATGGCTTTGTTTCCGGAGGTTATATAGGTGCTTGAATATGTCGAAGATGATGGTTATAATGGAGCTAGTTGGATTCACGCAAGAGGTCTTTTATCATACTTAAAGACATTTGAATGTGTGTTTTATATGCATTTGATATCAACGATCTTAGGGTTAACAAATTCATTGTCTCAAGCTCTTCAAAGGAAAGATGAAGACATCTTGGAAGCTGTTGATTTGATAGGAACAACCAAAGGTCAATTACAAATGTTCAGAGAAAATGGGTTTGATCAATTTTTGGAGAAATGCTACTCTTTTTGTGATAAACATAAGATCGTCAAGTTGGATACGGCTGAAGCTTATGTTAATACAATAAATCCAAGGAAGAGGATGAACATTAATCAACATTACTATAACTATGATATATTCAAAACTGTTTTGGATATGCAGATCTGAGAGTTTGGTGATCGTTTTTGTGAGATAAGCGCCAACTTGCTTTAAAATATGGCAGCTTTGAATCCACGCAAATCGTTTTTTCAGTTTAACAAATCAAGCTTATTGAAGTTGAGTCAGATGTATCCCCGAGATTTTGAAGACAAGGAAAGGATCATTCTTGAGCACGAACTTGACATCTACAATCATTCTGTTTATAATAATGTCAGATTTGCCAACTTAAACGGTATTGCCGACCTCGCCAGATTGATGGTGGCAACAAGAAAGCATCTTTCTCATCCTTTAGTCTACCGGTTATTGAAGCTAACACTGGTTTTGCCTGTTGCAACTGCTATGGTTGAAAGATGCTTTTCGACGATTTAAGTTTCTCAAGACATATTTATGTAATCGAATTGGTGATGACTTTTTGAATTCTGCTCTCATTTGTGCCATAGAAAAGGAAGCACATAATAATGTTAAAAATGAAGATGTCATCGATCGTTTCAAAAAGATGAATGCACGCCGAGGACAAATTTAGGAGTTGTTTCTCAATTCTATAAAAACCATACTTTTTGTAATTATTTTTTGGTATATATTGACCGTTTTCAAAAGATAAAGACGCGTCGGGTACAAGTTTAGGAGTTGTTTATCGGTTCTATAAAAACCATATTTTTTGTAATTATTTTTAGATGTATATTATATTATATTAATTATATGGTGCCACCGTTTGAAAAATTTTCTGGATCCGTCCCTGTTGGAAGGGAGTGTATCTCGATGTTTGGGAAGGGAGACGAGATGGGCGATCACTGATCAACTGCGGCTTTGGTTTTTTATTTCACCGATAATGGAGGTTGCGGGTAAGGATGATTGTGTCGTGTGATAGTGGGAAGCAACAAAATAGGGCTTCTTCTTTGGTTTTTGGTTGTCGTCAAGCATCAAAACAGGGGTTCACCCGATTACACAACCACCATGGGGTATTGAGGAGAAAAAGAGGAGACAACCAGAACTAGAACTAGATGGAGATGTGGACAAGGGTGGATTATGGGGTCCATTTGTTTTTTATTTTATTTTATTTTCTAAAAGAAAATGAGAAAGAAACGTAGAAAAGACCAAAATACCCTTATTTGATGGTTGAGATTTAACTCTTGTTAGTCTGAGGGACCCATACCAAACACTTTTTCTTACCATGAGAGTTTTGTTGCAATAAAAATTTTGTAGGGACCCAAACCAGAAAAAACAACAAACCTCAAGGACTAAAATTGCAATTCACTCTATATATTAAAAAGAAGTATATATTGTTTCTCTTTCATGATATGACAAATTTTTGAATATGACAGATGAACCATTACAACAACTTTTTGAAAGTTGAACAAGTCTTGGTCATTGTATAATGAAACCATCATTGTTCACATGTAAAAATACATAAACGTGTAGGTCAACACCCCAAGAGCATTAGATAATTCCATTACATTATAATATTATATATATACTCCTTAATTAATTCAATCTTAAAAGTATTCAAAATTTCTCCCTCGAGAAATATTGCATCACTAATAATTTGCATATTTTTTAAAAATGAAAAAAAAATTGAATAATAAAGAGAAGTACCTCAAACGTAAATGAAACTTATAATATAGTCTTAAAAATATAAATGTCTATAAGATAATCGGAGGGAAGATATCGTTCATTGAGATACACATTAAATATAGTGCATTCATTTTATGTATAGTGTTCATCAGTTTACATCCAATCTTGTTGGATAGAATTAATCCAATCTAATCCAATTATTAATAGATTTTGAATTTTAACAATCGCTTATATATAATTAAGTTCGGACAACCAATTCGATCTATTTAACTGTGGACTTTTGATTAGTTCTGTCTATTTGTTTATTTATCTGATGCTGAAGTCTAAGCTGAAGTTGGCGTTGGGGTTGCCTTGTGTTGAAGCTGTGGATTGTGAATGAGATGACGATGGCGTCTACCGCATGCAATCACGAAGCTATAACCAGCTGCGTGGATGAAGAGAATGAGGCAAAAAACCTTGCCTCTTCCGATGGTGGGTTGCATATAATTATATATACATCAATGGACCAAACACAGTTATTTGGACATTCACTTCGTACACAAGAGAGTTTCTCGAGGTGAGGTGCACATTCTACACGTCCTCTCACGCAACCAAATTGCAGATTTTTTTTTCACAAAAGGGCTTCCACATACTTTTTGATGATTTCAGAACCTCTCAACATACGAGAGCCTCCCGCTTTGACCACAGGGGTGCATTAGCATTGTAATTATAGTAAGCATCTTAGCAGTTATGTTAGAATCAGAATTCCTGATTTCTAGTTAGTTTATTGTATTAGGCTAATCTCTCTTGTTTATAATGGTAACCTGTTATTCATTATGAAAGCAAGGAAGACAGTCCTATAAAAACGTATAAGGCGGAGGCCTAAGGCCCAATACAATATAAATGATCCTTACGACCCGAAATAATACAAGAGGACGTATAAGTTATATGTTCCTAAATACATCCCATCAATCTGTATGTAGTGGAACAATAGACATAGTGGTGTGATGTCTAGCAAAAGGCCCCCTTTAGCAACCAACTAACAAATGAATTGGTAGTCAATATGAATAGAGTAAAATGAAAAATCAAGGAAATGGTATTCATATTGAATAGACTTCAATGGTATTCATATTGAATAGACTTAAATGGTATTCATATTTTATAGACTTCACATATTAAACGTAAAATGAAAAATCCATGGAAAACTCGTCAACAAACACAAAATAATACACTACATAACAAAATGACTTTTTACCCAAAACCAAGGAAATTCCAACCTTGTTTATCGACCAGAAAATATGCGGCTGTTAAATTCCATAATTAATTCGTCAGATATATAGTCCGGGTATACGTAGTGAGGACCGATATATTATAAATGTGCCATACACTCCGATAAAATACATGTACAACAAACTGATAATTTATATTTGCTTTAATATCCTCTTGGCAGCGACTGCGACTGCAAGTGCGACTATAAGAGATGCTTGATTATAGTATATGGTCAATGATTCCATGTCTCCGTCTCCTTTCACGTTTTCTTCGTTGATTTCAGTTTTGTCTTTATAAACACCATTAGTTTTACCTACCTGTATCAATTTCACTTGTTGACGATAAAGAAAATTGAAAAAGTCAAACTTATTTTGGTAATTTGTATGGGTTGTTTGTTTCATTAGTCTATTTAAGCTGATAAATCAAATTCTTTTCATCACCAAAAACAGAATACCGAGAAGGAACCAGTTAGAACTAAGCAAGTTCATAATCGAGGTAACTATACTGTTTAAATTGAACTTACATTTTGGCTAGTATACTGTGTTTCGGAAAGTATTGCAGAGAAAAGATAACGTTTTGAATGGAAAGCAACGATTCTGGTCATGGAGATGCTGCAGATAGAATCTATGACACCATTGAAATACTTGTTGTCAAAGAGAAAAAAAGGAGACATGCCCATGAGTTTTTACCTTCCATTTACAGGGTTACAAAAACCCTTCGAGATGTCAGCCCAAATTCTTATACCCCTCGTGTGATCTCGATTGGACCTTTCCACAAAGACAACAAGATTTTGAAGGAAGCTGAGGTGCACAAGGTGGCTTATATGTTTGATCTATATGGTCGTTTAAAATCCCCACGTGAGCAAACCACGAAAGCATGTGTCAACATGGTGCTTAATAAAATAGACAGAATCAGGGCATGTTATGCAGGGAAGATGAAGACCTATGATGACCATGAATTTGCACAAATGATGGTTATCGATGGCTGTTTCATACTAGAACTCATTTACAGGTCAAACGATAGGATATATGAGAGCCCTTCGGTTTTTGTCAACAAGTTGCTCACCCTTTACGTTAAGCATGATTTGGTTCTGCTAGAAAACCAAATCCCTTTCTTTGTTCTCCAAGATCTCTTTGAGTGCACAATTAGGAAATTAGAACCTAGAGCGTCTCTTGTTAGCCTTGTTCTTTCATTTCTAAAGGATGTGAACCCCTTCCGACAAAAGCTAGTGCTCGATAATGATGAAGCTGAAACAAATCATGATCATATTCTTGGCGTTTTACAGAGATGTTACCAGCATGCACATGCCAAACCATCAGAAAATTCAAAAACAACATCGAATTCGGCTGCAGAATTTTTAAATGCAATATCATACTCGGTCACAGAACTGGCCATGGCAGGGGTAAAGTTTAAGCCTAATAATGATACAAAGTGGCTGCTAGCCATGGAATTCAAATTTTCCAGGGTTCATTGCTTTTGCTGGTCGTGGGGTAAGCCTACTTTCAGAATGCCTATGCTGCAAATTGAAGATTACACAGAGGCTGTTCTTAGGAACCTCATTGCATATGAGCAGTTCTCTCCTGCGGTTCCTGATGACGTCACATCATATGCTTTTGCCATGGAGAGGATATTAGATACTAAAGAGGACGTCCTCAAGGTAATAGAATCGAAAGTACTTACAAACAATTTGGGTTCTAGCGAACAAGCTTCAAATATGATTAACAGCATATGCAAAGAAGTTACAGTTAAGGACTTCTCTTACATCAAACAGTGGAAACAACTGGATGGCTATTACAACGGCTACTGGCCCAAAAATGTTGCGTGGTTGAGGCGTACTTATTTCAGTAGTCCATGGAGTTTTATAGCCCTACTTGCTGGATTCCTTCTTTTCGGTCTTACGGTGGCTCAGACCTACTTCACTATTCGCCCGATATAATCGCTGATTGCTTCAAGTTCATTTGCTGCTACCAATAGACTTTTGCTGTGGAGTTAATTTTCTTTCTATGTTCTTCTGTCTTGTACATTTTCTTTCATTTTTTTGTTATTTTTTTCTAATGTAAATCCACCACTAATTTTTCCTCTTATCTATCAATTTGGGTATCAATCTTGTTGGAACAAAGCATCATCACACAAACTAATAATTATGTTATTATTGTTGAAACATCATACATTACATATAGCAAACAAACCGAAACCTATATACTAAACCAAAGGACACATCCGTTCAGACCAACAGATGCGACACCCTTTCATATGACAGTTAAATAAATGTCATGTAACCCCTAATGGCTATAAACTAAATTAACGGTAACAGAATAAACGACCATATAGCGATATTAACGACTTTATGAAACCAGATTCTAGCTTAATATTTAACACACCCCCTCAAGCTAGAATGGTTTAACACCCAAACTTTTCTTCATGTGTGTGAACAGCCCCACTTGTAGTGCTTTTGTAAAACAATATGCAACTTGATCTTTAGAGACGCAGAATTCGATCCTTACTTCTTCATTGGCGAGCAATTCTCGTATAAAGTGAAACTTTATACGGATATGCTTGCTCTTGCCATGAAATACAAGATTCTTAGAGAGAGCTATGGCAGATTGATTATCACAGAAAATGGTTGTAGGTTCTTCCTGTGAATGTTCTAATTCCTTCAGAATGGCTCTAAAGCTTGGCATCCAGCAACAGATAAAGACATGTATTATGCTTCTGTTGAGGACAAAGCCACAACACTTTGCTTCTTCAATTGCCAAGACACTGCCCTGTCCCTAGATAGCAGTGCTTCTTCCATCATCCATACTGCCTCTGTAATAACTGTCGCTAAAGCGAACTAACTTGAAATTTTTTGATCTTGAGTAGGAAATTCCATGATTCACAGTCCCCTTAATGTACTTCAAAACTCTTTTTCCTGCATCCGAATGGCTCTTTTTGGGCATTTCCACAAATCTGCTAATGATACTTACTGAAAATGCGATATCAGGTTTGGTGGCAGTCAAGTACATCAGACTGCCAACCAAACTTCTATATAAGCTTACATCAATAAATTCTTCCCTGTCATCTTTGTGCAACTTGAGACCAAACTCCATTGGGGTAAGTGAAGGATTGGTTTGACTCATATTAAACTTTTCTAATAAGGTTTGAGCATACCTCTGCTGTGTGATCTTGATTCCCTCTAAATCTTGCTTTACYTCAATTCCCAGRAAGTAATGTAACAGTCCCATGTCGGTCATTTCAAATTCTTGTTTCATGCTTTCTTTGAATTCATCAATCAGCTGCTGTGAATTCCCTGTAAACACTAAGYCATCCACATAAATGCATACCATAAGAATCATACCTTTGATTTTCTGAGTAAAAAGAGTATGTTCTTGGGAGCATTTGTTGAATCCATGTACCATAAAATAACTTTCAATACGGCTGTACAAGGCTCTTGGAGCCTGTTTTAAACCGTATAAAGCTTTCTTTAAATGGCAGACCTTGTATTCCTCTCATTTCTTTATGAAACCTTCCGGCTGATCTATATAAACATCTTCTTCCAAAAAACCATTCAAGAAGGCAGATTTTACATCCATTTGATGTATTTGCCATTTATTTTGAGCAGCTAATGCCAAAACCAATCTAACTGGTTCAAGCCTTATAACAGGAGCAAACACTTCTTGGTAGTCTATGCCATGTTTTTGCTTATATCCTTTAACAACCAACCTTGCTTTGTGCCTATCCACCTCTCTTTTCTCATTTAACTTAGTCTTGAAAATCCATTTAACCCCTATGGGTTTATGTCCACTTGGAAGAGTAACTAACTCCCATGTGTTGTTTCTCATAATGGATTCCATCTCCTTGTTCATTGCTTCCCTCCATCTAGCATCTTGATAAGCTTTCTTGAAGGACACTGGATCTGCATCAGAGAACAGCACAAAGTCTGTTGTATCATTAAAGTCTAAGCTTCTTGGATTACATAGACATCTCTTAAGCTTCTGTATCCTCTTACTGGTGGACTTTTAGGAGAGCTTTCAGAAAGTCTTGTGCTACTTGAGTTTGGAGGCATGATGGGAGTTTCAGAAGTAGGAGAATGATGATCATTTTGTTCAGATTCTACATCTCTTTGAACTTGTTCTTTCTCCAGAATTTGAGTGCTACCTTCATTTTGAGTTGATCCATCACACCAACTCTTTCCTTCTTCAAATACCACATCTCTACTAACAATTGTTTGTTGTGTGATAGGATTATACAGCTTATAAGCTTTGGATATCTCATTGTAACCTATGAAGATGGCCTTCTCAGATTTGTCTTCCAACTTAGTTATCTTTTGATAAGGTATATGAATGTAACCAATGCAACCAAAAGTTCTGAGGTGACTCACAGTGGGTTTGTAGCCACTCCAAGCTTCTTGTGGAGTTATTTTAGATAATCCTTTTGTGGTGGTTCTATTCTGTAAATAGCATGCACATGCCACTTCTTCTACCCAGAAAGAATGATCCAGATTCTTTCCCTTGAGCATGCTTCTAGCCTTTTCCATTAAGGTCCTATTCAGTCTTTCTGCTACCCTATTCTGCTGTGGAGTATATCTTGTTGTCACTTGATGGTGTATACCATTTTCTTTCAAGAAGTCTAAGAAGTAAGTGGAGTTGTATTCCCCACCCCCATCTGATCTCAAAGTCTTGATCAGATTTCCACTTTGTTTTTCAACATAAGTTTTGAAGCTTTTAAAATATTCAAAGACCTCAAACTTCTCTTTTAGAAAGTATACCCATAGTTTTCTTGTGAAATCATCAATGAAAGTTAAGACATACATGTTTGCTCTTATTGACGGTGTCTTCATGGGTCCACACACATCAGTGTGGATGAGTTCTAGAGATTTTGAGGCTCTCCATGCTTCTGTTTGAGGGAATGAGTCTCTTGCTTGTTTTCCAGCCATACAACTCCCACATACTTCATCAACGTTGTTTATGATAGGCATTCCTTTCACTAAAATGTGTCTTTGCATGTAGCTTAAATAGGCAAAGTTGGTATGGCCAAATCTATGATGCCATAATAAGGAGTTTTGCCTTGTGGATGCATGCAATGAAAATAGACTGTCATCCTTAAAACTTATAGGAAACATCTTGTTTCCTGCCATGCTTATCCTTCCTACTAGTGTACCTGATTGATCTTTGATGTCACATGTGTCACCTTTGAATTGTAGTTCGTACCCTCTTTGTAAAAGCTGTCCCATGCTTAATAAATTGTATTTTAAGCCAGGAACATAGTACACATTAGGTATCTTCTTTTGACCATTCCTTGTGTTTACTAAGATGTCCCCAATACCTTGTACACTTAACCTTTTATCGTCTCCAGTTTCGACTTCTTTCCGTTGTGTGTTGTCCAAATTCGAGAAAAAATCCTTGTTTCTTGTCATATGGTTACTGCATCCGCTGTCCATGTACCATGTATCTTCAGTTGGTAATTCAAGTGTGTTTAAAATCATAAACATGGTATCTTCATTATCTTCGATGTTAACAAAGTTGTTTTCCCTTTCTTCTGTGATCCTTTTCCTACAAAATTTCGCAATGTGTCCAAGTTTCTGGCAGTGATAACACTGCATAGGAGAAGGTTTGCCTCTGCCCTTCCCCTTGAAATCCGTCTGTGATTCTCTCGGTTGAAACTTGTTTCTGTCTTGAGGGGTTGAACTACTTGGTGATTGCAATTAAAATGCCTACTCATATGGATTGCCATCGAACTATTCATCCTAAGTTCGTGAGATTGCAGGATTCCCAACAATCTTTCAAGTGACATAATAGAGATATCTTTTGATTCCTCTATCGCTACTACCACATATTCAAGTTTTCGAGTTAAACTCCTTAAGATCTTTTCTACAACTCTTCTATCTTCTATTATTTTACCATTGAGATGAAGTTGATTCAGAACAAGGATAGTTCTGTTGTAAAAATCCTCGATGGTTTCTGAATCCTTCATCTTTAAACCATCGAATTCGCATCTCAAAGTTTGGAGCCTTACTGTCTTGACTTTTTCTTCTCCTTTGTATGTTCTATGTAGCATATCCCATGCTTATTTCGCTGTTTTTGTTGTAAATATCCTCACAAATATCGTTAATCTACGGCTTGGTAGATTGTGAATAGTGCCTTCTTGTCTTTCTTTTTAAGTTCTCTGATTTCCCCTTCCTGTTCTTCGGTGAAATCGTTCAATTCTATAAGTTCATCAACACCTTGATTGATGATGTCCCACAATTCTTGAGACTCGAACAATACCTTCATCTGGATATTCCAGTGATGGTAATTTCTCTCATTTAATTTGGGTAGTCGATGATGATGAATGCTATTTGAAGTCAAAGCCATTGTAGAACACGAGCTCTAATACCACAATGTTGGAACCAAAGCATCACACAAACTAATAATTCTGTTATTATTGTTGAAACGTCATACATTACAAACAACAAACAAACCGAAACCTATATACTAAACCAAAGGACACATCCGTTCAGACCAACAGATGCGACACCCTTTCATATGACAGTTAAATAACTGTCATGTAACCCCTAACGGCTATAAACTAAATTAACGGTAACAGAATAAACGACCGTATAGTGATACTAACGACTTTATGAAACCAAAATCTAGCTTAATATTTAACAAATCATACTTCATGGTTTCCGATGTTTTTCATGGATTATTCCATCGTGCATCAATTTGGGTTTCATTAAAGTTCGTACATGATCTATGAACAACTGTTAGGTTTCACCTTAATAGAAATTGCAAATTAAAACTCACTAGGATAAGTGGTATTATTGAACCAGACAACTCCGAAAGACAATTCTACTTTATTCCTCTGAAACAACGGATGATTCCGTACTACAGTTCGATGGTGGAACTTTTGTTTTGTTCCAACAAATTCCCTTTATTTATAGACAAGACGAATATAATTAATGAATTAAAATGAAGTGGGTATGAGAAACAACATGAAAGATGTCAGCTAGCGCTGCTATTAATTAAAAAAAAAATGAATAGAAAGAGACATTGCAATCCAAATCTACTCCAGAAGTAT